CGTCACTAGAGATTTATGGATGGGGGGCTGCTTTTTTCATTTTTTAATGCTAATTTAGATCAACAGAACATGTCATACAGTGCTATGATGAGGCGAGAGATGACAATATATACATACAGCTGACACATCAAACCACTGCTATGACATTCTTGATGAACTTTTTGCAAATGAGTTAAGCAACTACTAATCAGATTGGTAATTTGTGGCGCAGTGATCGATTGTATCACACCCACGAGATCTAACCCTGGAAAGCTCACTGAGTGAGAGATACAGCAGTTATTATTATGTTTTATTGATATTACATTATTATTACTTTGGGATTCAGATTTTCTCACTTTGATCACAATGTGGTCACACATACGGATTAACTCTTTAGTCTCTGACTCAGGCTGAGCTGAATAATATTTCCATAAAAGTGTGAGATCTCATGGTTTTCTCATAGAGCTCTATTCTATATCACAGCAGTCTTTTAGCAGTCCGTCAGTGTCGAAGGAGAACTCCTGCTTTTCTCGTTCATCACCTGAACTTCAGACAGTTAAATGCTGATGTTAATCTTATCTTCTCTCCTGTGGGGGTTTTAGGAGAAACAATTCAGAAATTAGTGATCTTTCATCTGCTTTATTTTTCTGAGACAATCTTAAGAAAGTTTTTTTTTTCTCTGGTAGGCTCCTCCAAAGTGGCCGTTTTTTTTTTGCTCACTAATCAAAATACACTGTTCGCTTATACAGTGCAACTACTACAGATTTTGAAAATATAAAAATACAAACTCTGTTCTTAAACAAGCACATGGTCTATGCTCAAATTACTAGAAAGTTCAGAACCTTTTATTGTTATTATTATGTTTAACAGTTGCAAACCCTGAAATCAGATCACATCCCGCATCCCTGTCCAGGAGGATATTTTTAATGGCCCTTAAATGTCTGTTAATCATGAACGTTTAGAGTAGCAATCGAAAAAAAATTCTCTAAAAATGCCTATTTGGTCATGTTGGCGCATAGTAGACCTGTTTCTTCATAATCTATCATCAGATCTCGTACAACTTAAACACTTCATCTTTCCACCTACACAGATCACAGATGTATTCATGCAGTGTTATCTCCTCTCTATTAGATAAGCTCATAGCTGATATAAAGCACAGATTATAGACTGGTACAGTCTCAGACTGCAGTGATCAGTAATATGATTTTGTTCTGTAGTTGTGCTTACAAGTTTATTGTCTAGGTGACATGGTTATAGTTACATTTGACAGCAGCAAAATGATAATTTCTCAATTCGTTTTTATTTAGTCTCACGAATGAGGATCTAATGAGGATATATTAAGGGAATAACGTTTCTACCAACATTTCTATTACAAATTATTCATTTTTAACCGAAAGCTTAAACAACTCTCACTCTCTTTCTTCTTGATCACTAACCTTTATCAGACCTGCTTCTTCAGCTCTGTCAGTCTCCTTCAGTGTCTTTCTCTTCCTGTCCTTCCCTGTGTTTAGTAGTTCATTGATTGAACTGCCAAAATCTTCTCACCTGACTGGCTTTATATAGAGCTACTACCTCCTAATGACTGTCTGTATACTGGGAACATTGAAAACAACACCAGCATTAGCAGCAGCACCTACAAGCTTTGTATAGAAAAATAATGCGTAATTAATACAAGTGTTACCTGCCTTCTGCCCAGTGACTTCTGGGATAGGCTCCAGCACCCCCCGGTGACCCAGGAGGATAAGTGGCATAGATAATGTGTGTGTGTGGGTAAAACCTTATTCTCTGCTCCTGTTACTCTTGTGTTATTGTTTGCTATCTGGTGTGGACCAGAGGAGGATGGGTTCCCCTTTTGAGACTTGGTTCCTCTCAAGGTTTCTTCCTTTTGCGCTTAGGGAGTTTTTCCTTGCCACTGTCACCCCTGGCGACGCTCATGGGGGGCTTGGACCTGGATTTTTCTGCGCTATATAAATAAACTTTGACTTGACTTGACACTTTTTACAAAAACAATGAAGTTGACAAGATAACAAAAAATCACATCTTGTTTTATTACTGTTTTTATTCGAGTACAGATTAAAGTAGATTTACTGTCACAACTTTTTGGGAATTGGGTTGGTATCTTTGAACAGCAGCGATATTAGTAACACAAGTAACATCATTCTTAGTAAGCCAGTAACTGTAATGTGGTTATATGAATTTAACTGTAATGCTTTGAAATACTTTGTTAAAGAAAATGTAATTACAGCTACACTTTACTTTGCACCATGTTAACGCCAACACTGTTAACCCGAACTTATATCTAACCCAATTTAGACTGCCATGTTACAAAATGCGTAATAGAAATATGAAAACAAATAATCTGTCACAGTTCTGAAAATTCTTAAAACAGTTGGCTCTTCAGGTAGATGACGTTCATGCTTTATAGCCTATCCGCTTTTTTACCTCACGTGAACTTAAAGTTAGCTAGACGCAAATGCAAAAGTTAGTTAAAAGCAAAATACTATTGATGATTAATATTGCACGTTCTTTTGGAGGGGCTAAATAATGCCAAACAGAGTTAATTCCAAGGCACTTTGCATGTGTTTGGTTGCACATTCTGTGTACAAAACGGGCGATAAATGCTTTGCTGTGGTTATCTGATTCCATAAAAGAACATAATCACACCCTCCCCTTCTCAAACAGAGGTGCTGATAGCATAGCTGCATAACAGTGGCTTTGCTAGGTCATGTGATTTTGTATATTTGGAAGCCAAGGCTATGCTAACGTCAGCCGCACTGATAAGAATCAGTGCATGGTTTGAAAGTCTATACATTGTTCGTTCGGTCTGAGCATACAGATTCTGTAGCAGATAAAATTGTGATGCATTTGTTAAGCCTGAAATGCGTGGGCGTTCCTCCCTCACATAACCGCGGGTTATTAAAGAATAGCGTTTTTATTATATGAATAATTACCTCTCTCAAACTGTAATGGGATTACTTTACTTATTACCTCCTGGGAAAAGTAATTTCACTACTATTTAGTTCTGAGTTACTTTATAAAGCTCCTACAAATCTGGGGAAATCCATCAGTCCTTTCAGTACTTTATTTAGAAAGAAGCAGCCTATCGCAGTAAACATCACTTTAAAGGCAGGTCACGGTCTCTGTCCTTTGCTCTGAACAAGATGCAACCAGTTATGCTTGTCATGCTGCTAAAATTACGCATGTCTGTTTGAAAACCCAGAAACCAGGAAAAACAATTCAAAAGCAGCTGCCTCAAAATGAGATCTTTCTGGATAAAATGATCTAAGCAACAGAAACCGAGTCAGGCCTGTGTCAGTGCGGTTCAAGCACTGTTTTTTGACACAGGGATCTGTTATCACGGCTTTTGTATTAGCATGCAGTCTGATTAGATGCTTTGGTAGATTGCTTAATGAGATTGGGAGCATGTTTACCACTGTGTGGTACCTACATTTCCTTTAACAGTGTAGTTACCGTCATATTTTGTGCTTAATAAGATAAGCCTTTCCAGGATGCTCCTTTCATATCTAAGCATGGTGGCATCACCTGTTTAAGATGTCTAATCTGCTTCAGAAGAGACTGAACATTTCACAACGATCCTAGTGCCAAATTGTCCCTGTCCTCACTTTTTTGCAGGCATTCATTTCAGAATGAACGCAAATTCTGAGCTTTTCTCATGTCGTCGCTGTCCAAAGATAAACAAGCATCTCCAAAATAGCAACTTTACAGGAGAGAGCAAAAACGTTCTTTACTTTCAATGTAAGTTAATGGAAAGAGATTTTATTCTAAGCAACTTTGGAGCATTTGTATTGGTCCAGTCATCTTGAAATCTTCACACAATGTAAAGGACAGCTGCTGAGCTCAAATGATGCAGAAAAGTGAAAATCGCGAAAAAATGGAGATGCGTGTTTTTCATTGGACAGCGACGATATTCATAATAATATTACTAATACAGGCTTCTAACAGTAGTCATTGATGTTCATGGTTTTTCTGTGATTCACTTCCACTCTGTTAGAAATAAAGGTGCTGTGCTGGTATTTTCATTCATCAAGGTGCAAACAATGTAAATGTTCCCTCAAAGGTACAACAGTGGTGTTAAGGTCCAATTGTGCACCTTAAATAAGTTTTTCCAGGTGAAAAGTTCGTATTTGTACCTTTTCATATCCTGATGTTTTAAAACAGAACAGTAAAATAAAAGCCTGGAGACGAGACGGGGTGTGTGGAGTCAGTACAACTCAGAAAATATCATTTCAGTGGATTATGGTTCAGTTATGTTCCCTGACTAAAGGTACTGAGATGTACCCTTGAGGGTACCACCCCAGTGACAAGAGGGGTCCTGCCCCAGTGACCGTTTAGTGCCTTGTTTTCTGAGAGTGTAACGGTAGTTATTGGTTGTTACTGGTGGTAACACTCAGTGACTCTCATAGATCTGACTTTCATTGCTACTCTGATAAGCCTCTAACAGTAGTAATTAGTTATCACTGCTTAATCTAAATACTTCTGTCCAATGATGGGCTCTTTTTCCCCCTTTTCTCTATTTTTAATATTTTATACTGACGGTAAAACCTTATTTTCCTCCGGGTACTCCGGTTTCCTCCCACAGTCCAAAGACATGCAGTCAGGCCAACTGGACGTGCTAAATTGCCCCTAGGTGTGAGTGTGTGTGTGAATGTGTATGTCTGTCTGTCTGCCCTGCGATGGACTGGCGACCTGTCCAGGGTGTATCCTGCCTTCCGCCCAATGACAGCTGGGATAGGCTCCAGCACCCCACCGCGACCCAGAAGGATAAGCGGTTTAGATGATGGATGGAGATCTGTGCCATCTCTAATAGAGCATATTTTGGCTTTCATATTTAGTTTCATGAGGTCCAGGGACAGGATGAGGTCATGAGTTAAGAGCACCCAGAAGGATATATTTAAGGATCAACAAATACGTCACGGTCGATTCATTAAACGATCATTTCAATTAATTTTATGTGCCTCTGTTGTTAATTTGAAACATCTTTCCCTCTCTCTCTCCCTCAGTTCCTCCCTCTGGCACTCACTCCAAAGACAATGCAGTACCCCAGAGTTCACCTGTGTCTTCAGAGATTCAAACATTGCTGTCATCGTATTATAATGACAGGTAATGATCTCTCACACACCCATTACAGTCAGGGGAAATTTTTAAATCATTTCCTAGTATAATTCCCAGCAGGAATGTCAATATGCCCATAAAGCAGTTTATGCCTGACTGAGTGGGAGGTCTGTGTGCTGCCACAGAGTGTCACCTTACAGCGACAGAAAGATGGCAAAGTGGATTAAGGACAGTTTGATCAGTTATTGTTGGGCTTCCTGGAAAGAAGAGTGCTACTAGCATTTTTCTCTTCAGATTAGAGTGAGTCACGCTCATTTCCTCGTGTGACTGTTTATCTCTTCTCCGAATTTGAGCATACTTTCATCAGAGGATGAAGAATTCGGAATACACTGTGTGTTCAAAAGAACCCAGACAGCCCTACTTTTGCTTGTGTTCAATAGCACACAAACAGCTTGTAAAATATTACATTAGATTATATTAGATTATATTAGATTAGATTAGGGGCGGCACGGTGGCGCAGTGGTTAGCGCTGTCGCCTCACAGCAAGAAGGGCCTGGGTTCGATTCCCGGCCGGGCGACCAGGGTCATTTCTGTGTGGAGTTTGCCTGTTCTCCCCGTGTCTGCGTGGGTTTCCTCCGGGTACTCCGGTTTCCTCCCACAGTCCAAAGACATGCAGTCAGGCCAATTGGACGTGCTAAATTGCCCCTAGGTGTGACTGTGTATGTCTGTCTGTCTGCCCTGCGATGGACTGGCGACCTGTCCAGGGTGTATCCTGCCTTCCGCCCAATGACAGCTGGGATAGGCTCCAGCACCCCACCGCGACCCAGAAGGATAAGCGGTTTAGAAGATGGATGGATGGATGGATAGATTAGATTAGATTCAACTTCATTGTCATTGTGCAGAGCACAGTTACAATTACATGTCAATGAAGCCAATAAAATTCAGTCATATCCATAGAAGAGCATTGACCAGTAGAATGGGATGCTTTGATGCAGCTGCACACCATGCCCAATAACAAGCATCAGCTAGAGGGGTATAAGGCCTCCAGCATTGGGCTGTGGAGCAGTGGAGCTGTGTTCTCTGCAGTGATGGAGCTCCATCCAATACCTTTGGAATGAGCTGGAGTTCCAGAACTGACCATCCAGCATCAGTACCTGACCTCACTAATGCTCTAGTGGCTGAATGCAATCAAATCCTCACAGCAATGTTCCAACATCTAGTGTAAAGCCTTTCCAGACAAGTAGAGGCTGTTACTGCAGCAAAGAAGGACAAACTCCCTATTAATACCCTTCATTTTAGAAGGTTATACAGTGGATATACAGTGTAAAATACCTAATTCTGTGTACGCTTGTGTTAACCCTTTTATTCAGCTCAGCTAGACTCAACCTCAGTTCATTAAGGCCTTGCTAATCAGCTGATGAGCTGAATCAGGTGTGTTTAATGAGGTAGCGTGCTGAAATCTGCAGTATTTTGGCCCACCAGGACTGGAGCTTGACGTGTTCTTTTGCAATATAAATAACATTATTTGCTCTTTAATAGGCGAAACTGGCATATTCATTATATTCTTAAATGAAAAATCAGTTGTCAGTTTAAATAACACAAATCAAATAAAGTGCTACATTGAAAGTAAGAGTAACTGGCTGTTTGGCACAATGAGTCATGTGTAATTATGCTGCAACATTCTAGTGTAGCAGCAGCTTTCAAATACAGTGCGAGTGCTTTTATCCTGACTCATGTTAACTATGGCATAACATTGCAACACAAATCTGCCCAAATCAAAATAATACATTGTCAGATTGTATGTGACGTCTCAGTGTGAAGTTGCGTTCACTTTTTCTCTGTAAACAGCATATCTAGCAGATCTAAACCAAATACGACAATTTTTATTTTGTTTGTATCACAAACTACCTTTTTTAAAGCAAGTAAACACAAGTATATCAATATTCTTTACAAAAAGTGGCCTTTTTATTACTCTGATGAAACAAATCAATAGTAATCATTTCCGTAGCAATATAAATTCTCACTCCAACAATATAGGCAGTGTGGAGCTTCTTTATACAGTGATAGGAAACACAGTAGCACCCAGAAAGCCCCAGATCCACATGCTGATCTATTTTACTATGACCAATGTGGACATGCATGCTCACCAACTGTTCTGTGGGGCAGATATCCTTCATTTTCCTCCTGTTTTATCACCTACGACGAATGTGGTTTTATGTACTAAAGATACGTACCTGTTTTCCAACCTCTCCTCATGCCTTTCTCTTTATGCCTTTAAGACTGATATATCGCTGCTGTCGAATCAAAACCTCGTATCTCCAAAAGAGAACTTTACAGTAGAAGCAAAAAACATACTTTACTTTTCATGTAAGTCAATGGAACCAGAATTTTTTCCAAGTCATTTTGGGCCGTTTCTTTTGGTCCATTCATCATGAAATTTACACACAATGTGAAGGGCAACAGGCATTTTCAAAATATGTCAAAAACTGAAAAACAACAAAATTGGAGATACTAGGTTTTGTTCCGACAACAGTGATGTGTAAATGAGCTGTGTTCTGATTGGCTGCCCTGTATTACCCCTTATTCAAAAAGCAGTGCTAAAGCATTCCTAATAACTTCGACTTGAATGGGAGGACCAGCATGTTTAGACAGAATGGGTGGATGTATGTAAATAGGTTAGTTTCACAAAACAGCCAATTCAAAAGCCACTTTTGCAGCTATGTTTCCATATTTGGATGGTACATTTTCATATTTTAACACTATTTACGTACTACATCATTTTTTTATTTTCAAAAGTGAGGAAAATTCACTTTTCCAGGATATGAGTCCTTTAAAGGGGACAAAGAGAACGACGCTGGTTGTATCACCAGTGAGAAGCTGGGTAAAGTTAACAAGGGTATCTGTATTAGTCAGAGTTGTCTTGCTTGCACTCACTCACGTACTCTGGACCTATATCCACATTCTTCTCTTTCATTGCAACACAAGACTTGGAATTCTGTCATGCCTTCTGAGAAGAAATGCGATGTGAGTGACATGAACGCACACAGATTTATGTCCACATGCTGATGGATGGCACACAGTTAACGGACCAGTCTGACTGATCTGACAGTAATCAGTGTTGCTAGTCTGTGAATGTTGGGCAGTTTAAAGTTTGTAAGAAACTGCATGTTTCCATGAGCCTCCATCATTCTGACATCTGGTTTTGCATGGTCTCTCTTTCTCTCATTCTTCTCATCTCTGCTCCTCTCTGCTCTCTCTAATAATGCACTTAACGTATTGTTTTTCAGTTTGCAGATCACTTTTCAGATTCATAATAATTCCAACTTGATCTTAACAAGGAGTTTAGAGTTTCTTGTTGTTTTTTTTTTACTCCTGGGCCCAATCTCATGTCCCCTTACCCCTCCGTTTTGCGCGTTCACGCCTAGAGGTCCTGCTTTTAGTTGAGATAGCAGGGTGGGGTGAAGTGTTAGGGCTACATGGCCCTCCAAACGGAAGTCTTTCAGAGTCACACTCCAAACAGAGTGTTATGAGAAAAAAAGAAAATCCGGCAAGATGGCTGAGCAAGCGACCAAAGAAACCCACAAATATGAGTATTTTCTCTGTAAAAAAATATGTTAACCACTGTATTTTCTTAGTTTAATGATGTTTCAAGGTGTTATGGTCCTTTTCTTCATAACAAGCATAAAAAATCACTAGTAGTTTGCTGATCGCTCAGTAGCTAGCTAGCTAAATTTCCCATTCCACCTTAAATGGTGCAGCAATTATATTCTGGCACCTCAGGCTTCAGAAGTGCTGCACTATTTAAGGTTGAACAGGACAATTTGAACAAGAAGTTGGCGAATATCTGACTTCAGCTTCATATCACTGAAGAATTAGGGGTGGGTGATAATAAATAACTGACCCCCTCTTTGAAGGCATATGATTCCCTAAATGTAACTAAAGCCCAGCAGTGAGGAGCTGAACTTTACCCTCCTCTGCTGTCACTGCAGACTGGCAGGGTCGCCTACAGAGCAGCGCTAGTAGCTGTTAATGAAGTAATGCTCTTTTTTATTTGAGGGTCCCATTTCATAGGGGAAGATTTCAGCCACTCGGAAACAAGGGTTAGGGATAAAAAGAAGAAATGGGATTGGGCATTAGAATGATAAATGATGTCATAATAATATAACCTTACATAACAAAATATGTAAATCATGTTTACTTTCAATTAGCATTCTGTATTTTCAGGTTCCATAGTGCCTACTTCCTTCTGATTGTTTTGATGGAAACAAAAGAACAAAACCATGGCAAAAATGTAAAGCATGTTTTGCCTCTCTGCAATCCAGTACTGTAAACACAACAATTATTTTCCATTAAACTCAATTTATACACAGTAATGTGGTATCAAATATCAGAATCTGCACTTTTAAAAGAAATTCTCATCGTGAGAAATAACTCATACAAAATTACAACATGCAGGAACAAACCTCTAATGGACTAAAGAGTATATTGCGGTGATTGCAGTCATTGTTGTGTGACCTATAAGGTAGATGTGGTTACAGGGTTGTGGTGTATTAATTACAGTCAATTAATGGACTAGTTTGTGAGTTTCAGTTGTGTGTTCAGTGCTGTGAGTCATCGTGGTGGTGTTTCTGGATGTGTCTGTACCTGTGTGTGTGATGTGAGGGGGAAACCCAAACAAATGCCTTAAGCCTCATCAAAAGTGTCAGTCTTTAGTGACGGTATTTAGTGGTGAGCCCTGACTGTTTGAATTAGGGGCCATCAAAATGTCGAAACTAAAGGGAAATTTTTTTTTGTTGAAACATGGAAACTTGGGGCTCATTGATACGTCTGAGTTTACCACTAGGAAATACAACATTATGGTGGCATTCATGTGCGCTTATCTCATAAATACAAAATTTCCGTCATGACTTGAAGGCAGTATAAGGCTTTCAGTTCAGCTCCTAGCCACTGGGAGAACTTGCTTGGCTGTATCTACCTGGATACCTAGATATTGCTCAAGAACTTAACTATTTTGTTTACTAGCCGAACATATTAAGAGCAGTATAATA